CAAACATCTATAACTCCATTTCCAGGGAATCTGACACCTTCTTCTGGTCTCCATGGGCAATGCGTGCACATGGTGCACTTACACTCATACACATAAAAATAATATAAACAGGAATACATTTCCAGGGAATCTGACACCTTCTTCTGGTCTCCATGGGCAATGCATGCACATGGTGCACTTACACTCATACACATAAAAATAATATAAACAGGAATATAAATGCCTAAATTTACAGTAAATTTTTGTGCCATAAATTTTCAGTTTTGATTTGTGCCATGAATTAAGCTAAGGGAATAGAACTTAGCTTTGTGGGGCTAGAGAGATGGCTTAGCATTTAAGAGCACATACTGCCCTTGCAGAGAATCTGAGTTCTGTTCTGAGCACCCAGGTTAGGTGGCTGATAGGTGACTGACTGTAACCACAACTCCAGGGAAGCTGACAACCTCTTCCAGCCTCTGGAGGCACCTGCACTCATGAGCACAATCCCATATACAGACACACAAATATATACATAATTAGAAACAAAGAGAGATGGAGAGATGGCTCAGCAGTTAAGAGCACTTCTAGAGGGCCTGAGTTCAGTTCCCATCACCCACATTGGGCAGCTCACTACTGCCCTTAATGCCAGCTCCAGGGGATCTGCAAAATCTTTTGAACTCTGCATATATCACCTGTATACATGTGGCATACGTTCACAAAAATGCATACATTTAGACATATAAAATGTGAATAAGAAAGAAAAGGAAGGAAAGGAAGGAAGAAGGAAGGAAAAAAAGGAAGAAAGAAAAAGAGAAAAAGGAAGAAAAGGGAAGAAAGATTAAGGGCTGTAGAGATAGCCCAGTGGTTAAGAGCACTTGCTGCTCTTGCAGAAGACCCAGGTTTGGTTCCCAGCACCCACATACCATCTGTAACTCCAGTTTCAGGAGTTTCAGTGCCCTCTTCTGGCCTACATGGGCATTGTACACATATGGTACACATGCATACATGCAGGCAAAATACTCATACACATAAATCTTTTTAAATAAAATATTTGAAAAGATCTTAGCTTTGCACACTGCCAAGTATTGAAAATGTTTTCTTGGATCAAAATACATTGTACGCATGTATGAACTTCTAAAATTAATGAAAATATATTAAAATATCTTCTTGGGTTAGTGCTATAGCTCCATTGATAGAATGCTTGTTTAGCACGCATGAAGCCATAGGTTCAATCCCCTAGCACTTCACAAACCAGGTGGCACACACCTATAATCCCAACACTATATAGTAGCAGGAAGATCAGAAGTTCGAGGTCATTCTTGGATACATAGAGAATTTGAGGCCAATCTGAGTTACATGAGACCTTGTTTCAGAAAAAAAATGCAGCAACATAAGATAGCTTTATTAGCAGGCAATTCAAATCTTATTAAGAAATCCAAAAGACTTAATTCTTTAAATGGCTAGAATAAATTTAAAGATCCTTTTTGTGCCCATAAGTAAGCTAGTATAAAATGATCAGATAGCTCTTAAAGTATTATTTCTCTTTATATTATTTGCCACATTTTTTTCATTTTTTTCAAGTTGAGAGATGAGAAATACCAAGAAATCAAACTGAATGTTTTTGCTATTAGCTATAAAGGCTTTCAAAGGGACTGACTGGGAGATAGGGAGAGGAATGAAAGAAGCTTACCCCCAAATCAATACAGGTAAAGTTTTCACTGTTTTTCCTCTGAATTAATACTCATTCATTTCCTTTGCTTTTAAAGAAGAAAAACAAAATACAAAATAAGCCAAATGTAATTTCTCTTATTCTGGGACCTCTTTGAGAACACAGTGACTCCCATCAATAAAAGCTTAGTGAATCTTTTTATTGCTTTCCCTTGCCCAATAGCCAACAAATGGTAAGAATGGAACAGTAGCTGGAATGCAGTGATACTCATTCCTGTTTCTAGGCTTGTGTCTTTGTGTTATAAGACCTTGGGGCTAGAGCTGTGTTTTTTTTTTTTTTTTTTTGAGACAGTGTCTCATGTAGCCCAGACTGGCTTCAAACATATGTTCATAAACTTCTGATCCTCCTACCTCTGCCTCCCAAGTGCTAGGATCACAGAGGTGTGCCACCATACCAGCCTTTCATTTAAATTTTGGCTTTTAAATTTATGTGTATGAATGCTTTGCCTGCATGCATGTGCACCATGTATGTGCAGTGTCTGCAGAGGCCATGAGAGGGCATCAGATCCCCAGGAGCTGGAGTAGCTACTGTTGTTAGCCACCATGTGTGTGCTGGGAACCAAACCTGAGTCTTTTGCAGGAACAGCAAGTGCTCTTAACCACTGAGCCATCTCTCCAGTTCCTCATTTGTATTTTCAAATGTTGAGTTGTTTAAGCCACTCAAGAACTGAGGAACTACTGTGTTCAAGCAGAATTCTTCTTAATTAGAAATTTTCTCCCCTGGTAGGCCAAGAAAATTTTTTCTTGTTTTGCTTTGTAATATTTTTTTTTTTTTGGTTTTTTTGAGACAGGGTCTCTCAGCTGGCCTGGAACTCACAGAGATCCGCCTGCCTCTGCCTCCCAAATGCTGGGATTAAAGGTATGTGCCACCACACCTGGCTGCTTTGTAATTTTTATCTATTTATTTATGCATTTAACAGTGCTGGGGATTGAACCTAAGTTCTCATACATGCTAGGCAAGCACTTTACCTTTGAGCCACATTCCTAGCCAAGAAATTTTCTTAAATGGCAACCACCTTCAATTTAAGATGTTATATATGTATTGAGTTTGCCAAAAGAGTTGTGCAAAGACCTTTGTTATATATTAACAGTAGACTGCCTGTTCTAAAACGCTGGTCCCCACTTGCTGCCTATTTGACCTCAGACAAATTAACCTCTCTGATACCTGATTTCTTCTTAAAAAAAAAAATGTGGGGCCAGGTATGGTGGCACACGCCTTTAATCCCAGCACTTGGGAGGCAGAGGCAGGTGGATCTCTTTGAGTTCAAGGCCAGCTTGGTCTACATAGTGAGTTCCAGGAAAGCTGGGGCTACAGGGAGACTCTGTCTCAAAAAGACCAAAAAAATGTGTATGGTGTATTGCCTATATGTATGTAAGTTCACCCATGATGTGCAATGCCCACAGAGGTCAGAAGAATTGGATTCCCTGGAACTGAGTAACAGATGGTTGTTAGGTGCTATGTGGGTGCTGGGGATCAAGCCCAGGTCCTCTGCAAGAGCAGTCAGTTGTCTTAACCACTGACCCATTTCTCCAACCACTACCTGATTTATTGATATATTAAAAGGAGTAAGATGTCCAGGTATGGTGGCTCATGCCTTTAATCCCAGCACTCAGGAGGCAGAGGCAGGTGGATCTCTGTGAGTTCAAGGCTAGCAATGGTCTATATAGTGAGTTCCAGGTCAGCTGGGGCTACAGGGAGACCCTGTCTCAAAATGACAAAAAAAAAAGGAGTAAGATAAGTTATGGAATCATCTTGATGAATGAACAAAGTACCTTCTGTAAAGGGCTTAGAACAGTGCCTGTATATAATGACTTCTGTTAATGATGTGTTAAATTTATTTTCAGCCAGGCGTTTTTGCAAGCAGATTAGACACTTACTTTATAGTTTCATTCAGCATGATTCTAATGGCATCAAAGTTATATGCTCAAGTACTATTTCACTTTCTTCTATTCATTCATCCAATAGAGTTTCCAGAGTCACTTCATGGTGCATCCTGTCTTTTAGACTTCCTTTGTTTAAGGAAGGACTTGCCTAAGGGCACAGTGAGCAAGCAATGTAGTAAATAAATTACAGAGGTGACTTCACACATTAAGAGAATCAGGACTGAAATAAGTTTCATAAAAATAAACCTCTCTGATGAAGGAAACAGTTAAGACTGAAGTAAGCAACATTACTAAATTGAACCTGATGTGAAAGGATCTCGGAAATTTAATAGACACCAAGAAGGGCATGGCTGCCCAAGCCTATAATCCCAGCACTCAGAAGGCTGAGGCGGGAGGATTGCCTAGGCTGCATAATGACTTTCAAGCCAGCCTGGGCTACAAAGTAAGAGTTTGTTTTAACAAAAAAATAAAGACATCTGAATTTAGTGAAAATCAAACAGATGAGAAAATATCAAAATCTAATACTTGGAATCATCTTGCTAAAATAATGCGTATAGTATGGACACAGGTATTGTACACATAGTAATTACCTAAGCACAAAAAAATATAAAACTATAGTCAAACTTCCCCAATTATTGTAATTTGTTCAACAACAGAGTTCAGGTCTTTTTGTTGCTGCTCTATGCATAGACCATACATTTACTTTTGGAAAGAGGAGCATTAGAGATGTGTGTACATTACAAACAACATACATTTCCTCATTAAAAAAACTATCTTTTCCACCATCCTAAATCTGTCAAAATATTAGAATATGTGACTTTAATTCTAGAATTTTTTAATTTTTAAGATTTTCATTTACACATCACTTTTTTGAATTTTGGGGATTATCATACAACATAATTTTAATTCTAGAATTTTAAGTACTTAATTAGAAATATGTGACTTATAGGAGTTTGTTGAGTAAAATTCTCATAAGTAGCTACATATTCTCAATAATTTATTGTCTAGTTATTAGTATTAAGTAATTTTCACTTAACCAGACTTGCTAAAATGTCAAACAAAAGAAACACTGAAGTTATGGAGTACACTTGATAGAAATTCTGAAAACATTTTATTCATGTTTAATTTCAGTCAATAACTCATTTTCCAAATCTATAAGTGGATTGGTCTCAAGTTCAAATTTTTTCATATTATTTGGAAAACTATTTTTAAAGAATGACTGAAAAACATTTCAACACAGTTATAAAATGCACAAATTTAAAATGTTACAATGAAGCAGTAAAATACACATATATAATAACCCTGAAAATTCTTTATTTAAAACACCAAGTTATTTAAAATGGATATATGGCATAGTAAAATATTCTTTCAAAACTCATCACTTCAAAGAAAACATACAATGGTGGGCATTACAATATATACAAAATAGGAAATAAATCATTGTCTGTCATTAATGGGAAGATTTGCATGTGTTCAAAATAGTCATAATTTTAAGTCAGACAAATATTGAACGGGGGGGGGGGGGATGTCTTTTCTACTCCGGCTCTTCAGAGACGCTTTAGATTCCTCTTGCTTTGGGTGCTTCCTGGGAGAGCATCTTTACACTTCCATGGCTTTGCTGAGCCTCTACTACATTCTTCAGACCCATGGTAAGCACACAGACATAACACACAAAAGTCAAAACCACAGGCTGGGCGGCTGCACAGTCCTCTTTTCTTAAATGGCTGGTACTTAGCAGGGGATTGGCACCTTGGGCAAGGCTTTAATGCTTCATCGGTAAAAAGTGTCCTGGCAACCTGCAGTGGAAACACATGCACTCAATCTCCCTGTGTCACAGAGTTGCTGTATTTCAAACTCTGTAAATGTTTCTCATAACTATGATCAGTACTCACCCTAACATATTGTTCCTGTTTACTACTCAAGTGGGTGAGAGAAGCGCTTGCTACAGGTGTCAAAACGTCTCCCCAAGGAGACAGAGTTGGAGTTTGCTCTCTCTGAGAAGTGGCTGCAGGAGCCTGCGCTTGCACTGATTTTAAGGCTGAGCGACTGAAAAGACGGAGCCGAGTGGCAGCATCCTGGACATTTAACACAGCCGCCTGTAGTAGAAGACAAAATTAATGCTGCAGTATCAAAGACCTTCTAAGACAGGATAGCTTTCTGATGCACCTGGATTTCAGTATTTAGTAGTTTATACCACCAAAATTTTCTCCCTAGATCATTTCTTTTTAGGGGGAAACATTTTTTTTTCTCATCTAGCATTTAAGTCAAAGAAATGTAAAAAGAAAACAATGAATGTGGAGTTGGGGATATGACTCACTGGGTAAAGGCACTAGCCGTGCAAGCCTGACATCCTGAGTTCAGTCCTGGAGCCCACATAAAAAGCCTCATGTGTCTCACCCCTCCATCATGGTTTCCCCAATTAAGGTGCCCCCATTTTCCCCCTTTCTCCCTTAATAATACCTTTCTCCTACGGTCCTACCTCTCTTGAGCACCTTCTTTCCCTTTATCCCCTAGGTTCCTTGTATACCCTTCTCTCCCTCTTCCCTTAAACTAACCCAATTTTTATACATATCTCCCTTATTAAGGCCTGTTTCCTACTGTTCTCCTCTTTTAGGTTCTTTCTTTTCCTTTACCTCCCTGGTTCCTTTCCATTTTCCTGGTTTCTGTAGTTATGTCTGGATACATACCCATTTATCAGGGTTTGATTCTAGGATCCACATATGAGGGAGAATGTATGTTGAAAAAATATGGAACGCTTCATGAATAAGTGAAGCCAGTCATGGTCAAGCAGGACCTTTGACTTATCTTCACACAGGTGGAACTGGTAAAAGAAAGGAGCCAGGGGCTCCTCCCAAGCCCATGTTACCCCTGAGGAACAAATCCTCAACCGACCGTAAATTGGTTTATCTGTGCCAACTGTATGGCCTTAAACACCCAAAAGGAAAGTATAACCAAAGATTAAAGGCACCAATATAATTTCTTAAAGAGTCCATATGCATAGCTAAGGGATACATAACAAGCAACAATGCCAGATAGGAGATACCTTCTTTTGAGTTGTTGGCCAGGGTGGCCCAAGGTTACTCCCAGATAGTAATTGAGCATAGAGCTGGGAAAATGAACAGCAGACCTCAATCTTATCTAAAGGAATATTGACAATTGATTGCTGCTAGATGAGGAACAGCTGGGCTTCCTAAAACAAAGACCTCTAGATGGGCTGACTAGAGTCATCCGATTGGACAAGTAGTGGGGAATGGCTGGGGGTGCCGACAACACAGCAGACAGTA